GCGGAGTTCGTCTGGCTGAAGGTCATCAGGACAAAGTGGCTCAACCCCAGGCTCTCCGGCCCCGACCGAGTGACCCAGCGGATCTCTCATGCCGTCCTAGGGGGGCGCGGGGCTCCGTTGGCGGGGCGCAGCGCCCCTCCAAAACAATGGTAGGGGAAACACTGGATAGTGTTTAATCAACGATAGGTTTCCCCCCCTCAAAGGTGATTGGTTCCCTGCATCGCAGGTATTATTGTGATTGGCTCTTGGGCCACATCAAAATTAGACTTGCTGTCATCCTCTCACACTGACACCTGACACCCTCTCACACTGACACCTGACACCACACATACACACCGGGAGCCGGGACGAAAGTAACACGGGACGAAAGTAACGGAGCGATTTTATCCGAGCCCAAACCACTTTGACCGGCCAAATTACGTTAATACTTAACAGACCTACTAAATATCAGGTTTAACTGTCAGGAGTAGCTAGTGTTGTCACGATACCAACATTTTGGTTTCGATACCAAGTCAAGAATTGCGATTCCGATTATTTTTCGATACTTTTCTTAAAAAACAGTCTTAAATGTAATTATTGTGCTTTATTTCACACCAGAACCATAACCATAACACAAACTTTTAAACAATGAGGAACATAAATTAATAAATGACAAGATTTTCCTATTAAATAAAATTAATACATTTCTCACAGACAGGCCTCGTGGTGTCCGTAGGCTTGCCCCTCACTGTCAGAGATATAGCTCAAATACTTCCAAATTTCGCTTCTTGGCGTCTTTTTTGTCACCAAGCCGAGGCGCAGCGGCAGTTGCACTCCCACTTGCAGCCATGCTTCTCGTTTTCTCACATGCTCTGGCAGCTAGCGCGTGCACGAGAGAGGGGAGGGACTTAGAGCGTTGCTTGAGAGGGCGGGACTGCAGGCACGGCTGCAGTGCAGGGAGTGGAAGCAGAGCGCTAAACACACACGGCTTCTTATTAAAACGGGCCCGCTTTCTCACCGGAGTACTTTCCCCCGTCATTCTTAAAGTACCGATACTAATGAAACGGAGGAATCGTAACATTTTAACGGCAGGGTATCGCGGTGGTACCTTTCAAGTATCGGTACACCCGTAGGGAAAGGGGGACAGCTGGAGCCAGTGTGCGGCGGGGGAAACCACCTGCTAGGACCAGGGGACGACATCAGGGACGGATCTGGCTCTCGTCAAGGAGGTCGACTCGGAAGCTGTCATCAGCGGACTGGAGGAGAAGGACCTCGAGGACATCCATGCAGCAGACGACTTGGAAGCTGCCATCAGCGGACTGGAGGAGGAGGATTGGGAGGACATCTCTAGCGGGCCGGAGAAGGAGGATCGGGAAGACATCTCTCCAGCATCGACCCGGAAGCCGCCATCAGCGGGCCGGAGGAGGAGGATCCAGAAGACATCTCTCTAGCAGGCAGCCCAGAAGCCGCCGTCAGCGGATCGGGGGGACAAAGACAGCACAGGGGACTACACTCTCCGCTGAAACAGGTTGATATAGCCGGTGTGGACTTTGTTCTAATATCCCATTTTTTGAGGAACTTTGTTTTAATATCCCATTTTTTGAGGAACTTTGTTTTAATATCCCATTTTTTGAGGAACTTTGTTTTAATAACCCATTTTTTGAGGGAGAAGCTGCCCCTTCCCCTTCGTACCAAATGCCCTTGCTGGCTTACGCATCGGAGGGGGACGAGCACGATGACTCAGCCGACAAGGACAATTTTGTTAACATATTTTGGTCTCCCTCCACTGTCATAAGAAGTTGTTATGGTGGACTGTTTCTAAAGGTTTAAAGTGCTCTAAATCCCAGCTTCTGATGGATTTATATAAATGTTGGGGAACAGACAGTAGAAAAGAATGACAGTGGTTATGTTTCAAATGCTGTGTATAAGTTGATCTCTGAAGGTGAGATCAAAAGAGGGATTAAAGTAAACAGATATTGTTCTAAACTGTATTAAAGTAAACAGGTATTATCTTGAACTGTATTGAAGTGAACATGTATTATTTGGGACTGTTTTAAAGTAATCCTATATCACACACACACACACACACACACACACGTTCTTTTCAAGGTTCTTTCTGGGGGACAATATAATCTCAAGCACCAATATATCTGTGTACAATGTTTGATACGAATATATCTGTGTACAATGTTTGATTGTTTGGGAAGGAATAGTTTGTGTGAAATCTTCCTTGGGAAACTAAAGGAGTGAAGTTAGGTGGAAGATAATGATTGACTCTGCCTTTGTCTACTCACGCTCTGTTCAGAAGTAATGTACCAATATATCTGTGTACAATGTTTGGTTGTCTGGGAAAGAATAGAGTTTGTGTGAAATCTTCCTTGGGAAATTAAAGGAGTGAACTCAGGTGCAAGAAGGAAGGGAAGTGACTCTCCGCCCCAAATATGTCCATATACAGTGGGGCAAAAAAGTATTTAGTCAGCCACCAATTGTGCAAGTTCTCCCACTTAAAAATATCAGAGAGGCCTGTAATTTTCATCCTAGGTACACTTCAACTACGAGAGACAGAATGGGGGGAAAGAATCCAGGAAATCACATTGTAGGATTTTTAATGAATGAATTGGTAAATTCCTCGGTAAAATAAGTATTTGGTCACCTACAAACAAACAAGATTTCTGGCTCTCACAGACCTGTAACTTCTTCTTTAAGAGCCTCCTCTGTCCTCCACTTGTTAACTGTATTAATGGCACCTGTTTGAACTCGTTATCAGTATAAAAGACACCTGTTCACAACCTCAAACAGTCACACTCCAAACTCCACTATGGCCAAGAACAAAGAGCTGTCAAAGGACACCAGAAACAAAATTGTAGACCTGCACCAGGCTGGGAAGACTGAATCTGCAATAGGTAAGCAGCTTGGTGTGAAGAAATCAACTGTGGGAGCAATTATTAGAAAATGGAAGACATACAAGACCACTGATAATCTCCCTCGATCTGGGGCTCCACGCAAGATCTCACCCCGTTGGGTCAAAATGATCACAAGAACGGTGAGCAAAAATCCCAGAACCACACGGGGGGACCTAGTCAATGACCTGCAGAGAGCTGGGACCAAAGTAACAAAGGCTACCATTAGTAACACACTACGCCGCCAGGGACTCAAATCCTGCAGTGCCAGACGTGTCCCCCTGCTTAAGCCAGTACATGTCCAGGCCCATCTGAAGTTTGCTAGAGAGCATTTAGATGATCCAGAAGAGGATTGGGAGAATGTCATATGGTCAGATGAAACCAAAATAGAACTTTTTGGTAAAAACTCAACTAGACGTGTTTGGAGGAGAAAGAATGCTGAGTTGCATCCAAAGAACACCATACCTACTGTGAAACATGGGGGTGGAAACATCATGCTTTGGGGCTGTTTTTCTGCAAAGGGACCAGGACGACTGATCCGTGTAAAGGAAAGAATGAATGGGGCCATGTATCGTGAGATTTTGAGTGACAACCTCCTTCCATCAGCAAGGGCATTGAAGATGAAACGTGGCTGGGTCTTTCAGCATGACAATGATCCCAAACACACCGCCCGGGCAACGAAGGAGTGGCTTCATAAGAAGCATTTCAAGGTCCTGGAGTGGCCTAGCCAGTCTCCAGATCTCAACCCCATAGAATATCTTTGGAGGGAGTTGAAAGTCCGTGTTGCCCAGCGACAGCCCCAAAACATCACTGCTCTAGAGGAGATCTGCATGGAGGAATGGGCCAAAATTCCAGCAACAGTGTGTGAAAACCTTGTGAAGACTTACAGAAAACGTTTGACCTCTGTCATTGCCAACAAAGGGTATATAACAAAGTATTGAGATGAACTTTTGTTATTGACCAAATACTTATTTTCCACCATAATTTGCAAATCAATTCTTTAAAAATCAGACAATGTGATTTTCTGGATTTTTTCTCATTTGGTCTCTCATAGTTGAGCAGTGGCGAGCCGTCAGGGCCCTCTAGGCCCTCTCTGAGGGCCTAAGATATTCTAAAAAATAATATTTAAAAACATTTAAAAAATATATTATTTTTTTTAAATATATATTTTTTAAATATTATTTTTGTTGTATTTTTACCGAAAAAACTTGATTTAATTGTATTTAAAATAAAATTTCCAAAGAAATAAATCCTTCGAATCTGCCTGTTCAGTTTCTGTTTGAATGTGAAGGGTTACATGAAAAAAGCTCGTCTGGCCCTCTATGCGATTCACAGAGGGCCCGCTATAGTAAAACAACGAGAGAGTAATGTCAAGTGACAGAACAATTGACCAATCATATCTTCCCTCTAAATGGGAGGGCTTTATTATCGCGGACTTTATGACAAGTTCCGCCCGCTGCGCTGCCAAGTTTATGCATGTGATATATCAACGGGTCAAGCTAGGCGGAATTAGCATACGTTCATTCACGATGGCTCACGTTAGTGATAGTAATGACATCGTTGCGAAACTACTAACCGAGTCTTTTTCAAGAATGAGTTACACGGATAAATTAGAGTTAATTACCAAAGGGCGACCAACACCACAGCTTAATTTGGTTCAAAAAACCAAACGGTTCGAGAGGCATTTTTAATATCGGCAATTACGCCAGATACAACTGGATGACCGGATCAACCAGGGAACACAAGCTGTACTGCTGGGATTGCTTGCTTTTTGGAGCGGACAGTGGGTCATGGGCCAGAGATGGATATTCTGATTTAGGAAGTTTATCCAAATCAGCACATCGCCATCAGAATGCTTCAGGTCACCTCAGAGCTACTATTCTGCTTAAAACATTTGGGGACACCAGGATAGAGCTCCAGCTGGATGAGCAACAACGCCGGGGTGTCATCCTTCATAATGAAAAGGTGAAGAGGAACCGAGGAATTTTGAAACGCCTGATAAATTGTGTGGTGTACTTGGGCAAGCAGGAGTTGCCGTTCCGAGGTCACGATGAGAGTGTAACTTCATCAAACAAGGGGAATTACATAGAGTTGCTGGATTTAGTGGCAGAACAGCGACCTGCACACACACCTCGCCACATCAACAGTATTTACCGGCACATCTTCAAGGATTCAGAATGACCTGATCAGCGCTGTCGCTAGTGTAATGACGGATAGCATGAAAGAGGAGCTGAGGAAGGCACCTTTTGTTGCGGTCATGTTGGATGAAACGACAGACATTAGCAACGTGGCGCAGATGTCATATGTGCTTCGATATGTCACTGACGATGGGATAAAAGAGCGTTTCTTCAAGTACGAAGATGTGACAGAGGACAAACGAGCAGAGGCCATAGCTACACGGCTGCTGGAGTTCCTGAGGGAGAGTGGCTGTATTGACAAAGTGGTCGCGCAGTGCTACGATGGAGCAGCTGTTATGGCCTCTGGATTGAATGGGGTGCAAGCGAAAGTTAAGGAAACAATTCCACAGGCCCTTTTCATTCACTGCTATGCTCACATCTTAAATCTCGTTTTGTCAAATGGAGCTTCCAAGATAAGAGAGTGTAAGGTCTTCTTCTCCCACCTCTCTGGCTTGGCCACCTTTTTCAGCCGCTCAGCAAAGCGCACCAAGCTACTGGATGATATTTGCCAGCATAGGCTTCCACGGGCAGCTCCTACTCGCTGGTGCTTTCATTCTTGCTTGGTGTGCACAGTGGCAGAGAAGACCAGGGAATTGAGAGAGGTAAGATAATAATAACAATGAACGTAATGGAAATATTAACAATAATAAAGAAATGATTTAGTGTTGGAAACTACCCACTCATAAAAACATGAAGGTAAAGAACTATGCTAGTATTACATTAAATGAAAAGCTAATCTTAGTGTTTACTGGAGGTCTAAGTTGTTTTTTCTAAACTAAGCATTACTCTCGTAGGTGTTCGAGCACATCGTAGACCATCACACAGAGTTTGATGACGAAACTGTTCATTGCTCTGATGGATACATCACCCTCCTTACCAGCTTCGATTTCAGCTTTTGGTTGAAAACCTTCCACGCTATCTTCTCCTACTCGGATGTTGTTTTTGAAATACACTGAACAAAAATATAAACGCAACACTTTTGTTTTTGCTCCCATTTTTCATGAGATGAACTCAAAGATCTAAAACATTTTCTACATACACAAAATAACCATTTCTCTCAAATATTGTTCACAAATCTGAAAAAATCTGTGATAGTGAGCACTTCTCCTTTGCCGAGATAATCCATCCCACCTCACAGGTGTGGCATATCAAGATGCTGATTAGACAGCATGATTATTGCACAGGTGTGCCTTAGGCTGGCCACAATAAAAGGCCACACTGAAACGTGCAGTTTTTCTTTATTGGGGGGGTCTGGGGGGGTCCGAAAACCAGTCAGTATCTGGTGTGAGGGATAGGATTAAGGTTAGGGGTAGGGTTAGGATTAGGGTTAGGGTAATGTTGTGAATTGAGTGGCCCATGGTGGTGGTGGGGTTATGGTATGGGCAGGCGTATGTTATGGATGACGAACACAGGCCACTCGATTCACAACATTACCCTAACCCTAACCCTAACCCTACCCCTAACCCTAATCCTACCCCTCACACCAGATACTGACTGGTTTTCGGACCCCCCCAGACCCCCCCAATAAAGCAAAACTGCACGTTTCAGAGTGGCCTTTTATTGTGGCCAGCCTAAGGCACACCTGTGCAATAATCATGCTGTGTAATCAGCATCTTGATATGCCACACCTGTGAGGTGGGATGGATTATCTCGGCAAAGGAGAAGTGCTCACTATCACAGATTTTTTCAGATTTGTGAACAATATTTGAGAGAAATAGTTATTTTGTGAATATAGAAAATGTTTTAGATCTTTGAGTTCATCTCATGAAAAATGGGAGCAAAAACAAAAGTGTTGCGTTTATATTTTTGTTCAGTGTACTTCAGAACAAAGGTTTTGATATGCAGTTCTGCCTGGCCAGAGTGGATCAGCTACAGCGACAAATTGAACAGGAGAAGGGGAACTTTGACAGCGTCTACGATGAAACCCAGGCTTTGGTTGGTCCTCCGCGCGGCCGTGGAGCTCAAGGAGACGTTCGTGCACGGTACAGGGAGCTCCACTGCAGCGTAATTGACAGCCTGCTAACCCAGATTTCCAACCGCTTCAGTGACCACAAAAAGCTGGAATTCCTGGCCCTTCTGGACCCGCAACAGTTCGGGCATTACTGTAACTATTTCCCAACTGCTGCCTTGAACAGTTTGATGGAGAGCTATGGCGGATATTTCGACCAGCCTCGACTGCACACGGAACTCGCCGTGATGTACGGCATGTCTGACATTTTGGGGAAAAGCCCAGCCGACATTCATCAGTTTATCCTCAAAAAAGGACTGAGTGAAAGCATGAAACAGGTGTACACCCTCTCATGCATCATCCTGACAATACCTGTGTCCACTGCCTCTGTGGAGAGGTCCTTCTCTGCGCTGAAGCGCATAAAAAGCTACTCGAGGTCCACGACTGGGCAAGTCCGACTGTCAGACTTGGCCTTAATTTCGATCGAGAAGGAATTGCTGATTGCTTTAAAAGCAAAGGATCACCTGCATGACGACGCCATCAAGTTCTTCATCCAAAAAGACAGGAGGATGGACTTTGTGTTTAGGTGATTTGATCATCAAAGGTAAGTCAAAGTGATTTTCAATGTGGGCCGCCGTGCCGACTTAATTCATTTGTAATTGTTACTTGGCTGTGGGTGCCCTGTCATGATAGGTGTTTATATAAATGGTGTTGTTTTGTGTGGTAGAGGGTCGCTGTCATTGATGCGTTTTGCACCCCGGGCCGCTGTTTTGATATTCCGCTGAAGTATACTATAGGCTGTGACGTAAAAACTTTTTTTTTTTTTTTTCGAGGGAAGAGGGGGGTGGGGTCAGAGGGCCTAGGTAGAAAAGTCACGGCTCGCCACTGTAGTTGAGGTATACCTAGGATGAAAATTACAGGCCTCTCTCATCTTTTTAAGTGGGAGAACTTGCACAATTGGTGGCTGACTAAATACTTTTTTGCCCCACTGTATACTGTTGTTTACCCATGCAAAATGCCCCCTGTTTCTGACTGGCTGGTCCCGATATCTGTATCGCACGGCGGTAGAGCGGGGAGCCCGGAGTGCTCTGTTACAGGGCACTCTGTATTTCGTATTGTGTTTTTTACCATTAAAATCAGATTATTGTTATAACTTTTATGCCGGTGTTTTGAACTCCTTCTTTTATTAATCTGACCAGGCTCATCTAAACGGACGGCGCGGAGCAGAGGTGGGCTTTAAGCCACCACTACTGTGTTTGCTTCTACAGCACCCAGGCAACAACTCGGACCAGTTTATCCAAGCTGCTGAATTTCCTCACATCAATCAGTTGCCCTATAACTGAGCCAGCTGGTATTCTTCGGGTTCGAGTCTCTTTCTCACCCTCAGAGGGTTTTATAAGGGTTAGAGGTTATTTGCCATCAGGATGCTTCATCTTTGCCTGAGCTCTGGTGAGTGCTGCTGTGAATGTTTTCCTTTGGATTTTATTGATGTCCTCTTTTGCATTTGCCGCAACCTCCTTTGCTGACTTCTTTGGCCACTCCTTCACTGGCATTTTCAGAAAGGAAGGTCCTTTCTGCCACTCAGATCCCTCCTTGAGATCAGCAGGGGTCGCTCCTCTTTCCACCATTTCATGTACCTGTGCCTTGTAGGCAGCTTGCCAATCTGGCTCCCTCTTGAGTTGTTTTTCTGTCCTCAGAAAAGTTGCTTCCACTGCAGTCCTGTTGTTGGGAAGAGAGATTGGGTCCTCGATCCAAGGGTACTTTGTATCCCAGTGTGGAGCACTACTGTGGGCATCAGCTGTAACATAGGTAAGGCCTTGTTTTATGATTTCCAGCTCTTTTTCCTCAATTAATGTAATTTCCTTTCCTCCAGGCTGACAATGACCACATCGACATCCTCCACATTTTGGTTCACAGGCTCCTCCAATACTGTCCCACTTCCACCAATCCAGAAACTCTCTGTCAACAGCTGTGCTTTTTGTTTCAGCCTGAATCTCTTCAGCTCCGATGATTTCCTCGTATTTCACTGCGGCCATACGCATGGAGCAAGCGAAGTGTGTTTCAGACTTATGTGTTGTCATCTCCACTTCCTCAAAGAGATCAGGGTGAGCTCCAGCCACAGTTTTACCCAGTGGGCTGTCCCACAAAACGAGGTCTCCGACAATCTTCACCCTCTGTGGGACCAGTCTACCTTCTCGGTGGCTGATAAGTAGCTCAATGTTTTCTGGTCTTTCTAAATCCTCAAGTTTGACTTCTGGAAAGAATTTCTTCAGCTGTTCAGGTTCGATGACTCTTTGCACGTTGGCTATTTAATTGAGGCCATAACAAACAAGTTGGTGCGCTTTTTCTGTACCTCTGGGTGTCTTGACACTAACTCTGAGGAAATATCTTCTGCTGTTCACCCTCAGTGTCATTCCTCCAACTCCATGGACAACCAATGTGATTTTTTCACTTTCCAGGTTTAACCGGTTGGCGGCTCTGTGGGTTATGTAGTTGGTGTCTGATGCTAAATCTATCAGGGTTCCAACTTTCTGACCTGAATTTGCAGTAACTTACAGCAGCATCATGATAACTGGTATCTCGTCATGTCTATTTCCTTCCATCCGCACAGACCGGTCCTTTTCATTGCAGTTTGTTATTGCAGTCATATTGGAAAAGGCGTTCTTGTATTTTTCTGCCATTTTGGGAGAGAGTTCAGCAATACATTTCACTTGCTCTTCTGTGAGTTTGGGTCTTTTCTTCAAGTCTTTCCCACCTTTGTCCAGTTCACGTTCTCTGTACTCTCCTTTAGGACAGAGGACAAAGTGGTGGTCTGAAGAGCTCCCCTTCTTGCATTCTCTTTTCCTGCAAAAGTAGGTGCTTACACACTCATGTCCTTCTTCATGACATCTCAAACACCTCTTACAAGCTCCCAACCTCTTCACAGCATCTAACTTTTCGACCAGATTTAGGCTCTTGAACTGCTGGCAAAAGAATAGTTTCTCTTCATGCCTTTCTTCTCCACAGACAATACAACGTCCGTCTCTCCTGGTGGAACGTGTTGAGGAATATTTTCTTTCAAACTTCCTTTCCGGTTTCTCTGACTTTTCAGTTACTCCAAGCTGCTCCAGTTTTTCCAAGATCTCTTCTTGTGTCTTCAGAAACTTGAGGAGACTGTCAAAATGGTTCTCAGGGGTGACTCTATTGCTGGGATTTACCATGAAGACGAGCCAATCCTTCTTCACAGGATCCGGCAGCTTGCTCTCTATGGACCTAGTGACCAGTGGGTTCTTGATGGTATCTGTCCTTCCAAGCTCTGTCAGGTCTGCCAGTGCTTTCTCCACAGTTTGGATTAAGTCGATGACTCTTCTTGGTTGATCTGCTCTTAAAACAGGAATTTTCTCAAGATCTTCAATTATTTCTATTGCAATTGTAGACTTATTCCCATATCTATTTTCAAGCACTCTAAAGATGTTCTCTGCTGTATTGTATGTTGAAAGTCTGAGGTTTCTTGAGATTTTCTCATCCATGCTGTCCAAAAGCTGAATCTTTTTGACTTCACTCGAGCCTGTTGGTTCTCCCTGTCTTTGCAGGCTCTCCCAGTCTCTCCTCCATCTGTGGAAATCTCTTTTACAGCCATGAAATTTGGGCAGACTAATTGGTTTAATTCTCACCAAGGGCGTGGTGTTTGCTGCATGTGGGGTTGATGAAGCAGCCGTTAAAGTCAGCAGATATGCACTCTTTTCTTCTTCTGAATTTCTTTGTGCAAACACAAACTCTGCTCTCCTTGCTTCAAGCTTGTTATTCATAGACTTTAAGTCCTTGACTCTGCCTTCTAGATTAGTTTTTTCAGTCTCTGGAATCCACAGTTCCCAAGATGCTAGGCTTTTACTAGCTTCCTTGATCAGCTTCTCCATGAAACCCAACTGCATCTCATAACCATCCCAATTGAGTGCAGATACAGATGTTTCAGCAGCATTATCACAAGCCGTTTCTGCTTCCTGGATTGAAGTTTCCAGCTCCTTTTGC